CTTTCATTTCCCAGATTCTGGACTTTATCTATTGACCGGGTTTGATTTTTATTTTGATCTATTTTTAATTGCGTGACACTGAAAACCAGCAATTTGTAATTTTTAGACCTGTAATTTTTGTCCAAACTTTCTTACTCTTAATATAGTTTTAGCTATTTGTTTGTTTGAAGCACTGAATATGTCAATCAAGACAATTTTGAATACGTCCGTTATCAAGCCTTATTGCATGACTGAGATCTTATTTCGTTGTGATTGGCTGTGAGCAGGCCAACTTATCGTTAATGTTTAATGTGCACTACAGTATAAATTATCGCGCGCGTTCGTAATTTTCTTAGTCATAATAAATGAGTAATCGTATAAAAGCTGGAGCAATTAACGATTTACAATACTCGAGATATTAGAAAATTCTACCAATAAAGGCTCGTCATACGATTACATATACTAATATATCCATTTTGTTTACTGTTAAATTCCTTGTCCTTCTGGGTACGCATGTTTTTCCTGGTGTTTTCGGTTTCTAGTTATCTCACTCTCCATGAATATTCCTTCACCCCTTAGGCATTCCGTGTTTGCTGTCAAGACTTGTTCTTCGCACGATCTCGTAATACACCAACCGCGCAACGGCTAGTGGGTAATGTGTCTAGTGCCAGTCCCTTGGAAACCGCCTTCAAACCAACACGTTCTATGACCGAGAGAGTGAATGTAGTTGGGGAACTGGTGAACATTAAGGTGTCAAGCCCAGTTGATGCTGACTTCTCTGTGCAGGTAAGCTGTAAAGAGGGAAATAGAAGGCTAACCTTATTTCAGTAGTTAGCTACCTTTTGCGCCGAAACAATTTATTAAGTAGTTGAAATTTCTGCCTTTTTTTCTAGGGAATTACCGAGCGTTTGGCGCGTAAGAACGCATTCCTCACCCGCGCCAAGCTGAAGGAGTACCTGTCATCTGCGCATGCGCCTTCTTCAAGAAAAGAAGAGTTCGCGATGACGAGGCTGAAAGAGCTTAGAGGCGAGAAGACTGGAGACGAACAAAGGTGAGTAGAGTTTTTTTGGTGTGTGGCGATGAGTACACAAGAAAATTGTATTAAATTTTTACAAAACACGTGGTTCCAGGTTAGTTATGAAAAACGGCTGCTTAAGTTCTTCACGAAAACCAAACTGGAGTCAAAGAAAAGACTAAAGCAAATTTGAATGAACGATCTTTTCATCTTCTGTTGAATAATTGTTGTTATTTGTATAAGAAATCGCACGACCCAGATCAATAGGCACCCCGTTGCCATGGAAACATACCGGGTACCGGCACACTGTGACTTGATAATAGAAATAGGAAAGTTTGAGGAGAGAGAGAAGGGGAACAAGGCAAGCAGCAAATGCACTGACTTCAGCATGGAGTTTTCCAAATCTTTCCACTTAAGTGATGATTGAATTCTTTAAATTTCTAGGCCCAAGTCTCGAACTGCTGGAGTCAAAACAGGTTTGAAATCTCCAAAGGAACTTCTTGAACGGCAAATTAACGATCTGGAGGGACGCGTTGACACACTCAACACAGAAATAGCCCAGGTTATGAAAACAGAATCGGAAATGAACGTCACTGTTGACCAAATGGCACAGGATAAAAACGTACCTGAAGACAGAGTGGAAGAAGTCAGACAAAAGCTAACAAACGCTGAACTACAGAAGGACAACCTGCTAAAGAAAGTGGACTACCTTGAAGAAGAAATTAAAAAGAAAAGAAAGGAACTGAACGCCTTGGACAATTAGAACGTGTAATTTGTGAGTTAGTGGTATAATTTAATTGCTGATTAGGCTACTTAATTAACATAGTTTTTCATCTTTCCCATGGGGAAAAAAAATGTAAATAGTCATTGAAACACGGATAAAACCTAGTTAGCCCAGTGCAAGTGGTTTTTTTTTCAAAGTAGACGATATTTATTTGAAATGGGAAATCGTTTATATTTATAAGTGAGCTCTTCATTGTAGAGTAAATCGCTCGCTCATTGAAGCATTGTAACTGATTTGTGACAATCAGGAAATCTCGCAAAATATGATTCACTCCTTTCGTTGCAGATATCCAATCGATTTCATATCTTGTCGTAGTGTGCGAATAATTGCAGTATTTTTGTACTACTTTTTTGTTATTTATTGTTCATCATAGACGATTGTTCATACTTTTATTTTTATATGCTTGCCATCTTTTGTAATAAACTCGGTATTTTGTAACAATCCGATTTTTGGCGTATTCTTCCTGGTGACCCACGAATTCAGGTTCGCTCCTCAAAATTGAGCCGAACCACGTTTGAAACACAACTGGGGACGTGAAAGCAATATAAAGAGCAAACAAGCCTCGAAACGGCCCAAAGAGCTCCAGCAGAAACACGCTGGAGGCCCATGGGTTAACACGCGGGGACTCCAAGTGGAAAAAGCCAGGGGTAATCTAAAAGTGAAGCCTTGGAGCCTACTGGCTCATAGCTGCCGGAGCTTATCCCAGTTTCTGTAGGATGAAGCGGCTAGGAATATTTCTACTCCCCCTGGATGGGATGCTAGTCCATCGCAGGTCACCCCCGCAATTTGTTAGGTTTCCCCAGCAATTCGCCGGTACCCACTCATGCTCCTGGGTGGAGAGAGGCACTGTGAGAGTTAAGTATCTTGCCCAAGAACACAACACAGTGTCCCCGGCCAGGGCTGGAACCCGGACGGCTCGATCCAGGGACGAGCGCATTAACCATGAGGCCACTGCGCGTGAACAACAATATGCTTACTCAAAATTGAGACAGAACACCCTTAACAACGCGGGGAATGCGAAAACTTTATCAAAGGCCCTTTGCCTTGGACTGGCGAGTGGCACTTGTTTTAGAGTGCGAACTTAGGGGGAGAAATTTTCAGTAAATTCCTCCATAATAAGATATACACGTGCTCCCAGAAGCACTAATGCAAAGGTTTTAGTTGAAGATCAACAAGTGGAGATTTCTGAGAATAAAACCAGTGTTGATATCTTTATCTAGGAATAATGGGTGCTTACCATTTAGCAAAAAAAAATTCCGGAAGTTTCGGTTGAAAGTCCAATGGAACGGTAATTTACCGGAAAATCCGTTCGGAAATTGTAGACTACCTCCAGAGGTAGTCCTCTTTTTCCGTTCGGAACGGAACGGTGGAAATTTCCTTACCATTTGCTAAATTTTCTAGTTTCAAGTCTCTCAGCAGCCGAAAACAATTACGAGAAATCGAATTGCAAATGGTAAGCGCTTCCTCGTTCGGTTGGCCTTACCATTATTCAACGGTTATCCCAACCGGTTTATTCTGAACCCTGATTCTGACAAATGGTATGGCTGGGAGACTATATGGCAGCCTACCATGAATTATATACCCCTACGTGTCTTCAGAGCCTTTTTTCTTTTCGCCCCAAGGCCCCGCCGGCTATGAAAGACAGGCGGCCCTGGGACTCAAATTGAATTTGCATTGCAAATGTACTTTGCACGAGTTGGTTGGAAGCTTCGCTTTTTCCTTCACAACTTTGCCTAATATCATGTCTACATTTCAAGAAATGGTCCCAAATGTGTCCCAGGCACAAACCTTTTGCTGGTGGAACAAACTGGAGGGAGATTCGGTGACTTATTCAAGAGCCGGAAACAGCAAGCGACCTCAAGATGTAAAGTGTTGCTTTTGACCCTCGTCAGGTAATTAAGCTTACATGTATTGAAAACTTTATGTTTCGTTGCTCTTTTGATTACTGAAACACTTAAAGGACTTTTACATGCTTTGAAACATTTATTTAGCCAAAATAAATCGATATCTCGTATACTATAATCTCGGCAACATTAAATTTGAGCCTGGGATGTTTCGAGGCACATGCCCGGAGGGTGTACTCCCAGCCCTTCTTTGGGCCATGTAGGCATGTGCGACTCCAGAATGAAAGGGTATGGATTTTTAGCTGTTTTCGTCAGAAATAGAGTAATAGGGTATCGATTTTGGCCATTAATGATTATGGTCTCAAATAAGGTATGGCTTTTGCACTCTAGTCCTGAATTGGGTATGTGATTCGCTTGCTGTACAATTTACCGTTATCAAAGTATCAGACGACGCCTTAGTCACAACAATTTAATTCCATTCGTCGGTAATTACTTTGAAACCTAGAAATATATATAAAGGCATGACCAAACGTAACATGAAGCTGAACGAAAGAAACATAAGCAGTTGGACGCCTGATTACTAACACTTACCTGGTGGCTCAAGAAAGTTACAGCAAAACGAAACTACAGTTCAAAATCTACAGTAACCGTTACAAGGACGCTGATTACGAAAAACTGATGGCATGTGCAAATACGTTAACAGCGATGATTCATGCATATCTAAGCACACACAGGCTCAAAATAATGCACGTTCTAATAATGCACGAAACAGTATGTTTTAAGAGGAAACTACTTTTTAATTATAGCTGAGTTCTGGTGACCAAAAGGGCCGCCAAGGGGAGCACCATACCCATATAGGAAAGAAAAGGAAACCCATGAATTGAGTTTCTCATGGTTATCATGGTTAGCTGTATTGTTGGTGTGCTTGTGGGATCGCATGCACAACATGGCGGCCTTACTCCAATTAATAGGTTGACCAAAACATGCAGCCTTGGTTTACAGCGTACATCTTTGATATTTAACATCCATGTTATGGTCAATAGACCAATTTCAATATATTAAAATTCAGCCTAAAACAACAGACGTCAGCACGAGGTTCCCGGGAATAAATACAGAGTTTGTGGGGTTTATTCCCCAGAGCCTTGTGCTGAGGTCTATTGTATTAGGCTGAATTTTAATATATCAAAATTGGTCTATTGACACCTGTCAAAAGAAGGTATCTGCTGACCAGTATCATGTGACCATATTGCAGGCTCAAGTCTGGAGCTCATCGAGGTCACATTTTTTTCTTAAAGTTGACCGGTGACCAAGTACTGGTTTTTCAATTGGATCGCGGGCTCAAGCAGTTTAACCTATTATCATTAGGGCACCAGATTGTTCGGAAGCCAGTTGAAACTAATCCAGGATTAAAATTTAACCAAAGTATACATTTTCTTGTATAAAAATGTTTCTCACTGCTTATGTTTTGTGTAGTTTGAGGTTATTCAAACTCGTAACAGAAGGCCAATATAAACAGCAAATATCACTGCGAAGTTACAAAATTCAAATCAAAATTCTCACTTATTAATTCAGGTTAGCTTAATCGGGCTTTGAGCAACCCAGCCTAGGAGCTCCGCTTTTAGTTTTGGCTAAATCCATATATTTATTGATAAGACCATCATGTTTTCATCTCAAAATCCTTCCTGATCACTGACAAATCATTCAATCTCAACATCCATACTGACAAAATGATGGGTGATTGTAGATTTTAACTGACAAATCATGCTTTGGTCTCGACATCCTAATTGGCAACTGACTTGCTGAGAGATAATTCTCAGTTTTTATCCGACAAGTCATGTTTTGATCTCAACTTCCATACAGATAACTCCAAATGTTAACTGATGAATTGTCTTTTGATCTCCATGTCCTCACTGAAAACTGACAGATAGTTTCAAATCATTTTTTGACACTGATCCCTATTGACCACTGACAGATGGATTGAAATTTGAAGTGACCATTCATATTTCATTTGCTACATCCTTGCTGGCAAATGACAGATTACTCCAAGTTTTGAAATTATTCCTCAGAATGACATGGCACAATTTTCAATTTCACATCATTAGCGCACACACACACACTACATCCATTCAATAGATTTCCTTCTAGCTAAGCTCGACAGCTAACTAAATGCTTGTTTTCCCTCAAATGAGGATGGTGGCCTATGTTTTTAATTACATAATTTTGGTGTACAAATTATCCTCTTTAAGTTGAGGAATTTTAAAAAAATTGTTTGGAAGGAAAAAAAAAGATATTAATAATAGCTAAAAGCATGCACAGAACCATTACTGAAGGATGCAAATTATAACATTGAAAACAAGGACTCTTAAAATGTTTTATTCTTTTTTCGTTTAAAATTGTGATTTTCCCAGAAACTATATATTATCTTGTTCCCTGTGCTTAAGAATTCTACATGTACCTACATGTACCAAGTTTTTCAAGTTTTCCTTTAGAATACTTTTCTTCCAGCTACCACAAAATGTAACATGAACCAACAAATAATGCACATGATTAGGTATAAATGGGATACGATTGGCCATCATATCTCTCTTGTGAGCATGGTGACCTATCTCTTTTATTCTATTTCTCTGAAGCATTGCTTGGTAGGGAACATTCATGGAAAGTTGAAAAAAAACATTGTTCGACAACTTTTAGTTCTGAAGAATCACCGTAACTTATATAATTCATGTTTTCATCTCAACTTGTTTTCCGACAACTTGTAGATGTCTTCAAATAATTGTAATTGAGCAATCGTGTTTTAATGTGAGCATTCTTGCCAACAATTATAAACTGACTCCAGATGTTGCCAACCAATCATGCTATCATGCTATCTCTGCACTCGTCGTACATCTAACAGAGGACATCAAATTGACCTGAAAAATACTGGTTATTGTTGCTGAGGCTGATTAATCTTCACCTGTTTAAACAACAACAACAACAACAGAAGCAAAATCAGTTATCATTCAGTGCATTTCTGAGATCGCTTCTTTGCTGTTAGTGAATGAATTAAACATGAAAACAAAATAATTATTGGTGATCAAATGATGAAACAATTATTGAACTCAGTTACCACAAAATATCGTGATTTATCAGTGGTGAGCAAATCAATTATTTGCCAAAGCCGAATCAGAATATTTTGCTCAACCTCATCCAATAATTTTTAATTATTGAATCAAATAGTGTCACATTGTTGTCATTGAGTTTGCTGCTGCTGTTTCTATTGTTGGGTTCAAAGCCTGTGCTATGGTCTACTAACCAGTCTGCAAATTCAACTTGATGACAATCAGGAAGTACATTAAAGCTACCATTAATTTAATAGTTACTGCAATTCAGTGTTGAGGTTTTCTGATCCATTAGCTTACAAAAGTGATCAAAATCTAACTTCTCCTTACAAAATCAGTACATTGTCAAGCAAACAAGTGATGAGAATAAAGAAAGCCATTAATACGGGAATCGTATAGCCAATGTATTTGGGATAGGATGAAGAAAGCAACTAAAGTGCAAAAACAATACAAAGCTCAGTGTGTTCTATATCAAACATTTTTTTTTCTTTCAGGATTTCTCAG